TGCCAGTTTGCAAACCTGGCTCATGTATTTGGCCCAAAAGAGAAGGACGTCTGGCATTCCCTCTGTCTTTGGACTGTTTCTCTTTGTACAGCTTGGTCCTCACCACTTTCTCCCATGTGGAGTTCCAAAAGAAAATGCACATGGCTCTTGGGATTCTGTGAACGACTTGTTCAGGGGCAGGCCCTCTGAGGGCAGTGGGTGGGGGTACGGGTATGGAGATAGACGCGTGGATACGTGGTGCGAACTGTGTAATGGGTTTTTAATGGTTTAACTGTCAAAGTGTGCTTTGATCTGCCAAGTGAACCATAAGGGCTGCTTGGCAGAGTATTGGAGGTAAAGTTATATAACTTTTTGGGGGAAAAAAAAGCTATCCACTGACAGGCCTGGAGGCCTGTGTGCTATGTACAATTGCCCTGGATAAGGAGCTGAGTTTGGGCTTGGATTATTGGGCAAAATCTCTCTCAGATCAACCCAAATCACACCTCTCCACCACTGGGGACTCTACTGAAGAAGACTGGGCAGGCAGGCCCCTGCCTGACCTGAAGCTCAATTTTCACATGCCAGCCTACCAATTCATGGCCCCACAGCCCTGTGTGCTAAGTGCATTGCCATGATCAAGAAGTTGAATTTGGGCTGAGATTATATATCAAAATAATTTTCGGGTCGCATCTCCACCACTGGGATAACCCCCTGAAGAAGTCTGGACTAGTCCTTGTCTGACCTGAAGCTTGGTTTTCATATCTGACACCTGACTGACTGACACCCCTCCACCCAGACCTGTGCTAAATACATAGCCCCAAATAAGGAGCTGAGTTTGGGTTGGGATTACTGGGCAAAATCCTTTTTGGATCAACTCAAACAACACATCATGTTTCACTTCTCTCCTGAAGAAGCTTTGGCAGGTACCTGCTTGATCTGAAGCTCAGTTTTTGAGTGCCAGCCTGCCAGTTAACACCCACCCTGTAAAGCTTGTGTGTTATTTTTCTGCCAGGCACTGGACAGCAGTAAGAATAGCTGCATACAAATATAGGAGTTTTAACACCAACTTTTCAAATTTACCTTGAGCCTCCATTTTACTTGGTAAAATAAATTTGAACTGGGTGTTCTAATATGAACCAACCTACCCACTTGCAAGCAAAGGTTAAATTAAAACAGGTTTATTACAAGGGGAAAAGGAAGCAAGGGGACACCTGAAGCAAGACCATAACTATTTAATCTTTAATGACAGCTCAAAATTGATCACAGTCATAGTCAGCAGCAAATCAACCTAGGGGGTTACCACCTAGCCCAGTCACTGCCAGGGCTGCCATTCAGGGGCTCTGCTACCTGCACCAGTTTAGCAGTAAGTTCTGGGTAAGGGGGTCTACCCTGGAGGCCCTATTGCTTCCTACTGCCAGGGATTTGCTGCCCTTCTCCTGGGGCTCTACTGCCTATGCCAGCCAAAGTAGAAAGGGCTGGATAGGGAGGTCCAGGAGTTACTGTCACTGATGCTGTAGAGCAGTGCTAGTGTGTAATGATAGGGAGGGCCACTGTGGACGCTTTTTCCAGGGGTCTCAATTGGTCTGCTGGGGGTCTTCTCCGCTCCTCCATGTCACCAGGCCTCTCCATCCCTCTGCTGGGGGGGGGGGGGGTCACTGTGGCACACCAGTAGGGGGTGCTCCTGTGGTAAGCCATCCACTTCTCTGCGCCTGACCACCTTCCAAGCTCTGAGTGTCTCCCCGGGGGCGCCTCACATCTGGCTGACCTCCTTCCTGGAGCACACCTGCAAGCCTCAGGGTAACGTTGCCACCACTCATGAGTCTTGGTTTGTTAGTGGCTGTGTGCCTCATGAGGTACATGGACTTTATAGACCTGAAGGGGGTACTTTACCCACTGCAAGAACTTGAGGTGCTTCCCTTAGTCTGAAGCACAAATAGCGGTCTCCCTTAGTCAGCCAAACCAAGCTTCCCCCCCACCAAGGCATAATCTAGACCCTCTCCCAATAAGTCTCCCATGCTAGGTACAGAGGAGAATGTTACTGATTACAGGGAGTAGGTTTGGAATAGGATACAGGGTAGGGCAATCTCAGAGAAATACCTTAGATCAAACAGTGGCATGGTAACCTTTGATCATGTATCTGATTTTCTGTAGCCTATGTATCTAGTTATATTTCAGGTAGCTTACTCACAAGTATCATCTAGAGGCTGATAGAGCTTTCCTCTGGAGGCAGGCAGTTCATAGGGTATCCATGTGTTTCAAGAGATAGACAGCTGCTGAGGCTCAGCTACTCTCAGTGTCTTCATCATGGCTGCCATCCCTCCTCCTGGGCAGTCCTCAACTTATACAGACCTTATGATCTCACTCTGGGGTCCAATGGAGACTAGCTGAAGTTGGCTACAAGCCAATCAAGTGGAAATACATCACTGGTTGCCAGGTAGAGGGACAGTGGCTTTTGCCTCGCCTCCTAGCCACTAGGTCATTGCTTAGAACCATGGAGAGTTTAAGCACCTACCCCCAGGTGTGTGAGGCCAGTTACTAGGCAAAGGGAGTAGGTTCCCCCCTCCCTCAGGAATGTATCCAGCTCAGGTTACAACTCAGGGTTACCTGAAGCAGATGGGGGCAGGGGTGTCTGCCCTCTGCAGTGACCATGGTAACCAAGTTGTCAGATAGGTAATAAACAGCTGACTGGCTGCAGATGCAGGCTAATTCCCTCCTTAGGCCTGCTGCCACAGTAACCTGCACCTGTGGGTTCCTGCCTGACTGCTAGGGCCCTCTCTCTAGGAGTTTCTGCCCTTAAAGGAGCAGACACCTTAGTGCCCTGTGACAATCCCTTTGAGGTTAAGATGGGAGTTAAGCAAATCTGCATAATCACTCCAATGTTCTTCCTGATATTCCTTACCGCAATGCTACATCTGACCACTAACATGCTACCAGTTAGAGAAGCTAAACTACCAAACAGATGGTAAGCTGTTTAATCTCAGCCAACTCCAAGCCAAAACAAGACTACTCTGTCTTCAATCACTGAGCTCCAGTATGCTGATGATGCTGGAACTTGCGAAAATGGGACTCGTGCTTAACATTCAGAAGACTAAAGCTGTCCATCAGCAAGCTCTTAATAAGCAGTCCCCAGCTCCATAAATTCAGATTTATGGTGAGACTCTGGAGAATGTTGAGTAGTTTCCTGTACCTGAGAAACCCTCTCTCGCAGAAGGCTAACATCAACAAAGAAATGCAACATCACCTCAAATGTTCAAATACAGCCTTCAGATGTGAGGAAATAGGTGTTCAAAAATTGTGCCATCAGATTCAAAATCAAGCTCATGGTTTATTAAGCAGTCTTTATCCCTACCTTATTGTACATGGCTGAGATGTGGACAGCTGTGACAGAGAGCTTGGGGCGCTATGTTACTTTAAGACAAATAGGGCATAACTGCAACTGGATCCCCATGGAGACCAGGCTCAGCAGGTGCTGCCAGGCGGGGGGTGATCCCCACTCCCCCACGCTGTACGGGGGGCTCTGCATGAGCCCCTGAATCCCACCCACTGCTCCCCCAGTGACAAACACCTGGCTGATTCTGTCTGATCTGTTGCTGCTGCCTCCAGGGAGCAGGGCATGGGGGATCATCCCTTCCCCCTGCTCTATCCCCTGTGTCCGCACCATCATGGTGGTGGGCTGCCTTCTGTCAGAGCATGGATAAAGCATTACGGACAGACAGACAGATTTAGGCTTTTATGATGTTAGACTAATATTAAAACCTACATTTTTGATGAAATTCTAACTCTTCAGCATGTCAAATTCATTAACAACCTTAAATTGTGTAAAGATTAGCATTGAAAAGGAAACCAGGAATAATGAACTGAGAAGTGGGGATTAGGAACTAGGAATAAACAGCCTCCTTGTTCTTCCCATGCTCCTGCAACTTGCAGGGAGGGCAGATGACTGGTTGCTGGCTTGCAAATCCCTGGAGAAGTAGCTGCAGTCACATTAGTCCCCTTTAGTACAGTGAGAGGAGAGAGGGGGCAGACAGCAGAAAGAGCCAGGCACTGAAGAGTGAAAGGATTTGCATTTATGGTCATTGAACCCTGACTTCCACTACATAAAGGGAAGGAGTGCAGCTTTGCACATTAACCTCTGCCTGTGCCACTGTGGAGGGGGTTTTCTCAGCTGTGGAGGCCCAGAGGGAAGTAGCTTTATACATTTCGGAAAAAAAGACATAGCACACGCCGTCTTTACACATACTAAATTCTGAGCCTTGTCATTTACCTGCCCCTGCCACCCTCACCTATAGCTCCAGTGGTAACGCCATCCCCTTTCACCTTCTGCAGGTTCAGCTGCTAAGCAGCCCTTGCCAACACCAGGCACCACTCTCTGCCTGCCTGTTGTTGCCTGCCCTGCCACTGTGATGTCCATCCAAGGGTGCAAGAAGGAATAAGAAAAAAAAATGTAAGAATTAAATGTTTGAAAGGGGTACCACTGAATGCAGGCAAGTCACTGGGGGAGCCTCAAGTCCGAGGTCACCGGATTAGACAAACTAGGTTTAGGCCAGGATCCTGCCTGGAGCAGGTGTTGGAGAGAGATCTCAGGATGCCCCTTCTCCAGCTCTGCTTTCCTGTGACTGTGCCTGATCAAGCCCTCAGTGCCAGGGGCAAGCGGAGCCCCAGGGTTACAGCATGGGAGAGCTCCTTGGAGGGACCTCCTGCCTCAGCACCGCAATCCCTGGCGCAGGGCATGAGAGAGACGCCGTTCGAGACGGCAGCAGCACGGCTGGCCTAGCTCTCCCGGCAGCCGCTCCGCAGAGCAGAGGCTTGGGGTCAAGCCGGTTTTTTGAGAGATTTCACTGAAAAAACCCGGCCCTGCTGGCGCCCCGCTCCACCTTGGCCAGCAACTGCCAGTCCCGAGACCGAGGCTCAGCGCCACGGGCGAGGGGGCGGGGCGGAACTACGTCTCCCAGGATGCCGCGCGGGCCACGAGCGCCGCCGAGTCACGTGGCGGTCGCGCCGGGTCGGGTCACATGACGCCGATGCGAACGGCGGACACGGAGCTGCGCGCCACCCGGCCCCGCATGGCCAACGTCGCCAAGAAGGTGTCGTGGTCCGGCCGTGCCCGCGACGACCCGGAGCCCGAGCCAGAGCCCGAGCCGGGCGAGGCTACCCCGCTGCTCAACGGCGCGGGCCCG